GTCTGTCCGTCTGTCCGTCTGTCCGTCTGTCCGTATGTATGAACGCGTCGATTTCAGAAGATATAAGAGCTAGAGACTTCAAATTTTTTTTAAAATGTCCGTAATTACAGCGCGCATATCAAGTTTATCATTAAAAATCGATAACTCATCCCGATCTTTTTTTATCGATAAAAAACCTTATCGAAAACCAGTTATAAAATTATATCTTCTACACCCTTATTGCTAGAGTCTCCAAATTTTTAATGTATGCTTATATGCAATTTATACAATTTCGGTTTTTGTTAAAATTTACCCCCCACCCTTAAATTCACCCCCTCACCCTCACTTTTGTAAAAAGCGTATTTCAAATACTAGAGACTTGGGCTTTGGAATATACACACATATTCACCATATGATTACGCTCTAAAAGTTTCATTAAGATCGTATGTCTACAAAAGAAATTATTTAACAAATAAATTCTCATAATATTGCCCACACTGCAGCGCAGCCCAAGCGCAGTCGCTGCTTACTGCGCAGTTAGCAGAGCGCAGGCTTATGCGTGCGTGTGGATGCATGTGTATGTATGTGTGCATAAAAGAAGTGCAGAATGATTAGAATATCAGCTTGGAGRGKTYAGGGTATCTCSTAGTCGAGCAGTCTCGACTGGAGCTTTCTTACTTGTTATTTTTGTTTTTATTTCTCTCTCCCTCTCTTTTAATCTGTCTATCTCTTTATCTTTCTCTCTTCAACACTTCTCTCTCTCTCTCCCTCTATATTTCGCTCTTTTTTGTCTGTCTTCATTTATCTTTTTCTTTTAGCTTATCTCTCCCACTGCCTCTTTCTGTTTCTCTCCCTCTTTATCTCCCTCTCCCGTGAGTTCTCCGTCTCTCTAGTTCTCTTTCCGTCTCCATTGGTTTCTCTATTTCGCAGTGTCCGTCTTCTTTAAATACATCCTTCGGTTACTCTTTTTTGCTATCTCGCCATCCGTTCGCTCTATTTTTCTCATTACTCTGCATGCTCTTTCTCTCTCTTTCTTACTAGAATTAGATTCAGGAGACTTTAATAAAGATTTGATATTTTGATTAAACGAATTTTGCTCAGATTGTCTACAGCTGGATTCTGTTCGAATTAACAAATAGATTT